GGTACGACTGATTTACTATTATTATTATTATTATTATTGTTACTGTTACTGTTGTTGCTATATTTTAATTTATTTCCCGATCTTCACCTTAAGATCCCCCCAGACAGATCACAACAATTTAAGATGCAACATTAGCAACAATTTTTTAAAAACTTGCAATTACAAAGTATGCAGTCACACAAAAAATAGGGTTGGTCCTAAAAATATACATCTCAGGCACATTTATGGTCTTTTTAAGATCGTACTGCGGCCCATGAGGCCATCTGGAGTTGGATCATGTAAACAATCACACGGCAATGGCTGCCTGTGTCAACTGGAAGGGAGCATAATGTGATCATTCAGCTCATGTCGCTTCTATACAACAAACTGCTCTTAGCAAGCCATGCTAGCTCTGGCTTGAGCTAGTGCAAACTGGCGCTGCTTCATTGATGTCAGTGCAGCAAGCACTACCTCGCCATCTGGTCTCACATTTCTATATCTGGATCTTGTACATAGCCTTCTTAAAGCCCCCCTTTATGAGAAGCTCGGGGAGCACTGGGCTGGCCAGAATGAATGCCTGTTGTGTGCCAGACAGGATGCCAACATACCTTTGCAGTTCAATTGCTTTTTCTGAGGTTGGTGTTAATCTTGGCATCCTAATGGTCTAGCGGAACAAGATTAATGATGAAATCCTGCAACGAAGTGACTTTTTAAATTTTATTAGAAGGCATGTTTATTGGTGGGGAGAAATGCCAAAGGGACAACACTGGAAACAAATCTCCCATTTATCCACAAAACAGGTGTAGCATGGACAGCGGAAGAGCAAGACTCCCCAATTCAGCCCTAGAAATACTCCTTTTAATAGAAACTGTGATTTAACCTTAGCCAAGGAAGACCTGTTTGGGGAATGGGAAATAGCTGAACTGGCTTTGTATGTACATGCAAGTAACACGAGGGTTTAAAGAGGTTTGTTAAAAGGACTAGAAAGTCAAAAACTTTAGTGCTTGTGACAGGCCACACTACCAAGTTTTCGCCTGGGGCCACAAATTCACAGCCAGACAACTCATTGCACCTCTCATTTGACTGGTGCAATTCACATGTAACCAGAGGTGCCGAGTTTCACACAACATTGTGGGTGGGGCTTGTTGCGTGTGTGTGATGTCACAAGTGCAACACACATATGTGACAGGAGGAGGGCATGAAGCCCAGGGAGGCCCTCTGCCACTGCGGGGAGGCCGGGTGGGGCCCTGGACCTGAAGAATGGGGGAGGGGCTCAGCCCCATCCCCATGTACTTGTGGGGGGCAGGCGGGCACTGAGCTGTCCTCAGTCCCATAGAGCTGGCACCTACGCATGTCCCTAAGTTTCCTCAGTTCAACACTTTTTGGTCCCTAACACAGGCATTCTATTATTCCTGCATTCCCCTTCCAAATCCTGGAATAACAGTCTCATAGGCCAAACTGGGGTGCCTAATATGGCCTCAGGGCCAAACACATGTGAAGGCAAGGCTACCGCAAACACAGCCTACTATTTTTATGTGACAGAACAGCCCAAGCTGATAAGATCTGAAATTGTACATATAAGGTGGGAGCTGGTTCCTCAATGAACTCTTTGAAGAGTGAAATATTAGCAGCGAAATGCAAGTGCTGGGATAGGTGCTGCTCTGCATTCTCTTTCCCTTATAAGCTTTAGCACATGGAACATGTCAGCAGGCGCTGCCGAGGCTGTTCTCAGATTCCTAGCAGAAGGACAACAAAGGAACTTTTTTCAGCTGGTTCATTTACTTTATGATGGGGGGGGGGAGAGAGTTCTATTATAAAAGCAGATGTTATGGAAATCTGGCCCTTAAGCAAAACTGGATTTGGTGCAGAAACAGGATTATTTACTGTAAATCTTTTAACCTCCCCTTATGAGTAAAACGGTGTACACTTAAGGATTTAAAAAAAAATAAATATATGAAGTGCTGGTTTTGAATAAGATTAGTGGAAAATAATAGAAGATAAATAATGACATTTCAGATTTCTGCAGTAGATATATTGAGCCAAACATTGCTCTATTTCTTGTGTGTCTGTTCAACAGAAACGTACTCAGTGTGAAACTGACTAATCTGTCATAATCATTATTGGGACTGTTTCTCTCTCTCTCCCAACCACACACACACAAATAACGCTTGGAGTCGTTGTGCTTAATTATGGCAATGTACACTTGATGGCTAATAGTTTAATATAAAAACTGACTCCTGTGAAAAGCATTGGGCTATACGATAGTTCTATCTGTTTTGACTTATTTTCCCTTTCACACATGTAAGTAATCTTTTGATATAGCAGAGATCAAGCGATAAACATGTACATGAAAACAAAGCTCAGTTCCAATTCAGACATTACTTTTTTTTTCTTTTTGGAAATTCAGTAATTACTCTTGAGTTTATATCCATTAAGAAATGCTATTTATCAACTTTCTCATAAGAATCACTAGGATGTGTGTGTGTGTGTGTGTGTGTGTGTGTGGTCTACTCGACACAATAAAGGAAAGACTGTAGCCCTTTTCAGGCATCCAAAACAACAGGTGTGCTTAAAGTGAAGATGGAGTAGAGATAGACCCACCCCAACATCCCAACATCTGTTTGGTTCCTCTCCAAACTTTTGCAGATTAAGTGTGAAGATCTTAAAGGGGGATACCACTTCTTTCCATTGACCCATAGCTAGTTTTTCTCTTGCAATCAGGGAACCCAGTGTAATAAGCTGGATGTGGTATGACTTCCCTGCAGTCTTCAGATATCCACATTGTATATATTAAAGTTGGGATCAGAGGGGTGTTGGAGGGGGCAGGGCCCATACACACTCTTCTGCATTCTTGAAGAGGGTTTTTGTTCCATGTGCTTATAATTTGTGTTCAGTTAGTTTGACTAATTGTTACCGGCTCATCAAAAGAGTGTACCCCATGCTATCTCTTTTTGGTCTATAGCTTTGTCTATTGCATCACCAAATACCAGCTTGTAAGTATTGATCCATATTTTAGATTTGTTTCTATTTTTAATTATGACATTTTATTAGTTTAACCGTCCTAATAGTTGTATTTAATTTCAGTTTTTGGAGAGAAAGCAACTGTCCCCTTTCTCTAGTTTTTTTGGGGGGGGGGTTGAATCTCATGTTTACATGTATGCGGTCCAGAATTAAGTTGATATCTGTTTCCACAGCTCTGCTTCTGGGGATTTAACAGCAGCTGGCTACACAGAAGGTTTTCCTGCCATGGAGGTAAGTTGCAGAAAAGCTTCACTTGCTAAATTGTTGGACCAGACAATGCACAGGAGCAGACCAGGAAAACAAAGAGTGGCCTTAGTAAAAGGTGGCACATTCCGCAGGAAAATCATCTGAAATGGCTCTGTGAAAAATGATAGCTCGTTATGTTTTCAAGCAGGGCAGTGACTAATCATCTTTTTTCTGTCCAGTGTTGCCACGTTAGAGGGCCACATAGGGAGAAAGAAGCAGAAAAAGGCAGCTGACACATGGGTCATCTCTCCCCGCTAACAGAAAGAAGGCTTCCAAATTCCTCTTTTAAATTATCCTTGGCGATTCACTGCTGTGGTGGTAATGGCAGAAATATGCTCCTTACATCATGTGATATCATCTTTTCTCAGCAGACAAACCTTCGCTTTTTGAGCTTATTTTGAAAGCCTTCATTGCTTGCAAGGTACTTCTAATCTTATAAAAGTGGGGGGCACTTGGCTAATTATTGTTAAGTATATTTTGCAGTTTTTCAGTGCTGTACCTCAGGACTTTTTTCCAGTCAGAACTTGCCAGAACTCAGTTCTGGCACCCTTTAGGTGGGCGCCGTTGCCATTATAAGAGAACAATGGAGGTGTTCATGGTGAGTTTCAGCACCTATTTTTCTAGAAAAATAGCCCTGCTGTTACTGGGATAGAAATCCAGGTACACTGTATGTTTGGCCTAGAAGACCCTGACTGGATGAGATAGAACAGCACAGAGACCCACGCCATTTCCTCAGCCTCAGAACTCACATTTAGATGGTGGCGTAGGAAGGGGGGTGCAATGGTTGCGGTTCACCCCGGTGTCATCACTGAGGGGGTTGACTGCAGGGTGGCTCTGGCAATGGCAGGCTCCGTGCTGCCTGGAACAGCAGCATGGAGCTTGCGGACTCCATGGAGGTTCCATGCAGCGTGCTCCGCCCTGGCTTGCCCCGCCCTGTGGGTGGCTTGCCCTGGCCCTGAGTGCAGGGCATTTGTGGCACCCCATGTGCCCTAGCAGCTAGCTACATTGCTGCATTTAGCTGCTGGAACATTCTTTGAAGTCTTCTTGATTTTTACTAGCAGGGTGCAGTTTGAGGGACTGAATGAAATGAAGTAACAGCAAAGTCTGTAACCTCTTACAGTGGAAAGGTCCTCTACTCAAAAGGCTGTCTGCTTCAAAACTTCTTTAAAGATCAAGAACCACCAGAAAGGGGGGCAGGGGCTTTGAAATTGCCCCTCAGCTCCCAGCCCCTGGTGAGGAGACTGAGGAGGCATAGAGGTCACTTGGTCAGCCTTCTGCACTTATGGTGACAGGTGTTGTAGTTATATTTAGGGTTTTGTTTTTTGTTTTTGTTTTTTTACTAATTCTTTCTAAATGTGCACCTGCTACATATAAATTAGCCCTGACAAAGTCTATGCAAATCTATGTCCTCTTTTGGAGGTTACACATTTCCCTCTTTTTGGCACTTTGTAACCCATGTTCAGGAAAGCTTACACAGAGCTAAGGATGTGGATACAGCGATGAACAGCTAATACAGTGGTACCTCTGGTTACGTACTTAATTTGTTCCGGAGGTCCGTTCTTAACCTGAAACTGTTCTTAACCTGAAGCACCACTTTAGCTAATGGGGCCTCCTGCTGCTGCCGCACCGCCGCTGCACGATATCTGTTCTCATCCTGAAGCAAAGTTCTTAACCCGAGGTACTATTTCCGGGTTAGCGGAGTCTGTAACCTGAAGTGTATGTAACCTGAAGCATCTGTAACCCGAGGTACCACTGTAGCTTAGTGGTAGGACATCTGCCTTGCATGCAGAAGGTCCCTGGTTCAATCTCCAGCATCTACTGACTGAAATTCTGGGCAGCCACTTATTGTAGACAATACTGAGCTCGATGGTTTGCCTCGGTATGAGGCAGCTTCTGAGGTTCAAATGACAGAGAGTGTATGTGTGTGTGTTGAGAGAGAGAGAGATTATGTGAGTGTTTGGCACTGCCCACTTTGCCTTGAGCCTACATTTGGATGGCAGCCCTTGTCAGAAATGCACCCTCCGCCCCACTTTAAGCAGTCCTCCTGGCCTCAATAACCTTCTCATTTCAAAATTGCCAAACTTACAAAATGTACGTATAAATCATAGAAGTTTGTGGAATTCATTACTCCAGTTGAAAAATATTAAGTGTTCCCTGAATGAGATTTTCAAAACTCATTATTAAGCTTTTGTGCTGGATACATGGTATGTGGGGTTTGGGGTTTTTTTTTTTTTGTAAGATGACTAGATTTCCTCCAGCGCTGTTCAGTTTTGCCAACATCCTTCCCTCAGAAGAAACGAAGTCAAGGCTAACAAAGATATGTGATTTATAAGGACTTCAGGGAGGCCAGGAATGTTTCCAATTTTTAGTTACTTTTATGCTGTCAGTGATGAGAAGACTATGGAGTTCTTTAAAGCTTATTGGACTCACGTAGTTTTTGGTCTGCTCACAAATAATCCTTGCCAAAAAGAATCTTTTTTTCTAATTGCTTTTCTCTTCTGCTGACATATGGATTTAAAATATATAAAAAATAATAATAATTGGAAGGCATAATTAGGAAGGATTAGGTCAGAATGATACTAGCCCAACAGTGAAAGCTCTGATCAAATGGTGCCCACATGTAAATGTTCCCAGACAATTGATAATCATGCCAATAAGCTGTTTGGCACGGAGGAGGGAGGGAACAGCTAATCACAGGGGGCACTTTCCATGAACCCTTTCAGAAGCTTTACTCCCCTTGGACTATTTCACAGGGCCAGTGTTGAACAGGGGAAAAAACCTTCATCCATTTGGAGTGAGGGAATTGCAATCTTGTGTGCCAAGATTCCAGTTTGTGGCTCATTGCAAAAATTCTTTCAGAGCCCACACCGACAACTTTGGTTTGCACCAGCCTTCCTCCACCCTGATGCTGTCCAGATGTTTTGGACTACAATTCCCATCAGCCGTGGTCAGCATGACCATGGTCAGAGATTTGTAATCCAAAACATCAGGAGGGCACAAGGATGGGGAATCCTGGATTGTACAACCTAATATCAAGGGGAAATGAGAGTGCACACGCCATAGGCTCATTCTCATATCACCAAGCCATAGTTTGACATTATGTCCAAATAGAATCTATATCTGCACACACTCTCTCACACATACTCAGTTTCAGGTCAACAAGTGTGGAGTACTTAAGTCATGAATATACATGCATGAACCAGCTTTAAATTTGGCTCAGTTCAGAAAGCGGTTGTAATGAATGGTTAGCATCTGTCATCAGACTAAATCCCTTCTCAATGAGGGACTGAAATAAAGGCAGCACAGCCACTGCCTACTTACTTGAGTGAAACCTGCTTATTAGATGAATAACACTCCCATGCCACATATCTGCCTAGCCGTCAAATAAATATATAACGAACTGATTTCTCCCCCCCCCGGCCTTGTGTGAATTTTTTTGTACAAGCCAAGAGAGATATGATGGAAAATCCAAGGGGTCTGAATCAGTACCGCCACCTTGCCAGTAAATGGCATGCCATTTATTTGGGTTGGCAGACTCGTTAAGGAGGATACCATCTGGGAGCGATTTATTTTCCCGAAGCAAAAGTGACTGGAGGAAAACATAAGATATGAAAAAAGCCAGATAATCCTGTTGAAAGAGAAGGGAGGAAGAAAAATATTTTGTAAAAATAACTTTCCTTGGAAGAATCCAAAATGAGGTTTCCAGCGCAGTGTGGATTTATGCAGACCTGCCCTTGAAATGTTAGAAAATTACAGACCATTCATTAAGTAAGACGGGAAGGATTCGCAAACTTGAATGAGGACACCAGGCAGGCACTTAAAAGTTGGCTTTCCCTCCTCACTGGATTTTAATAAATGATCAATGAAGAAAAAGGGAGGGGGGAATTTTTCAGTTCCACAGCTCACACAGCCCAGTAATGTGTTGGCATGCCTCTTAATATTTCCAAGGGACTGCTAGGAATGCGACTGAAAACGGAGGTCAGAACCGCATAAATCCATTCCACTGTGTTGCTATAGTGCTTTATCCAGATTAGTTTCAGGCCATGTGAAGGACATTTCTTTGGGAAGGGTGATTTCTTCTCTAAATTAATACTTACTTTTGGAAGGTTAATTGAAGTCCTTTTTACTGATATGATTAATGGCTTCACCAAAAAAACTAGGAGAAAGCTTTTAACTTCCTAAGATTGAATTTGTGAGTCAAGTTGGAATCTCTCTATTTCTGAAATATCTCTTGCCTTTCAATCCAGAATGCTACGTATGTTCCAATGTCACTCCTAAATGGAGAATGGTGCCCATTCATTTCAGTGGAAGGAACCCATCTGCACATGTGATGGAAATGGGCATGTGGATTGATTAGTTGCCTTGAAATGAAAGGGATTCTATTGCAGCAGGCATTAAAACTGTTGCACCTAGAGCAGATTACTTGAATGAGATACTGATATTTAAGTGGTAAGTTCTGGTGGTAAGAATTTGCCACCATAAGTTATGCATTGTATTTGTATTAGCTGAAATGATAAATAATGTACTTAGAGATTTCCTTTCTGCTGAAAAATCACAATATCAGAGTTAGAATTGGGTTCCTAGTATCATACATAGAAAGAGAACTTAGTATTCTTCAATGAAATAAATGAGGAAACCATTAAACATATCAGCAAAATTAAAACCACAAAATAGAGTTTAAAGAATTGTTTAAACTTAAACTATTCGTTTAAAAAACCATTCACCTTGCCACGAAATCTACCTTTTTATTTCATATTGCGTTGCTGCCTTAATTACTAGCAATGTACCAGAAACCATGGAACAACCACATTATTTAAGGTGGGGAAACACAAATTTTAAATTATACCTCTGACCAGCCAAAAACATTATTTTTTCATTCTGAAATGAAGGGAGCTCTTTTACCACAGCTGAGCACACAAATCAGCAGGAACATAGTATTGCAGAAGAGGCCTAGTTTCCTTCAGTGCAGATATGCACATCTTTTGAGTGCCTCTTTTTGTGGCTGGAAGCATCTTTGGGAATTCTAGTTCTGTGAAAATGGGGCTGTATTTTTGTTGGGTGGATACTACACACCCACCCCCACACCATGATGGGTGCCAACAAGCCCATCCATTCTGGATATTAATAGGCTTGGACTGAGACCTGTAGACTCAGCCCATCCCCGGGGTCATGTTATCCATGAGGCACTGTGAGGAAGTGCAGTTTATGGCCAGCTGCAGAATTACTGAATGGTGAGGCAGCAGCATCAAGGGATGCCTTCAAATGATGGAAAGATGTGCTGGTACAGCAGAAAGAGGGTCCATGGAAAAGCGAGTGAAATGGTTAAAGCCAGCTGAGACAGCTATTCCTATTGTCATGACAACTTGCCTGCAAGTAGACAAGAACATGGTGTGTTTCTACCTCTAAAATAGGAATATGGAAGATGTGCCTCTCCAGATGTTGCTAGACTATAGCTCCCATCAACCCTCCCAGCATCACCTTTGGCCATGCTGACTGGGGATGATGAGAATTAGAGCCCAGCACCATTGGGTCATACGTTCTCCCCCGTCCCCCGTTCTGAAATAAGCCACTCTCTCACACACCTGCAGTTATTAAGAATGTCCATTTACTTTCAGATTTGAAAGTTTAATCTTATTGCACAATACCTTTATAGGATCTACTGCTTTAATAGTACTAAACATCAATCAAATTTGCTAATCCTTTGCATAATAAGGCAATGCTATGTTCTTCTTTACTTCTCAGCTTTTATATATGTACTCAGGGTACAAGTAACTTGCATGAAGATTTTGAGCATGCCATATAGCTGTGTCTCTTAATTTCTTTGCTGTCTGGTGGAAATTCTATTTTTAACATTGCTAATATATTTTCTTGGAACTGAGAGCTCATCTGTGCTCCCAGATAAGGATAGGAGGGGGTGCGGGATGGGGAGAAGGCAATTTCTGTTTTATGAGTACTTTTGCGAATTGGTATTTGCTCCTCCAGTCACTGGAAATGCTCACTTTGATTCAGTGCTATACAGGAATTGTACATTTCAGTAATTGGCCAGCTGGGACTCAACTTCATTCAGCCAAGATTCTAGAACTAGTGCACAAAAATGAATGGTTGGTGAATTTTAAAGTGTATTCATTTCCAATTATCTAAAAAGCCACATGCTCATAAGGTAACATCTCAGCATCTCTGAGAGCACAGTATGGCAGTCATTCTGAATACTTGATGAAATACCCCATAACATCATGAAATCTCTGCCTATAGAAAGCTAGTTGGCAGGGGCAAGGGAACTGGATTTGTTGTTTCCCAGACATTCTAGCTTACTATATCCAAGAAATTTACCATTGTATATACAGTTCTGGGGGGATTGCCATTTGGTGTTTCTGGATTTATACCATAATAACAAACAAAAACAATACCCCACCACACACAGAGTTTAAAAGGCCATAGATTGTTTAGTTAGCCAAAGGCCTGTGAGAAGAGAATGTTTTTGCCAGGTGGCTATAGGTGTATAATGAAGGCACCAGCTGAACCTCACTGGGAAGAGCATTCCACAAATGCAGAGCCACTGCAGAAAAGGCCAGTTCCCTCCAGACCTCTGGGGAGGCACAGGAAGAAGTGCCTCTTCCTGCCCAGTTGAGCAAACGAAGTCCAGAGTGTGGCCTGTCACGTGGGTTGAGCTAGTGACATGTTGGGACAGCCCTGTGGTTGTCATGGCAGCCATAATGTCCTGAGCCTTGGCATGGATGCTGAAGTCCTCCAGAACCAGCAGTCTGGGAGTCCTCAACACCATCTCTGAAACCAGCTCTGTCAGCCCAGACAGGGACACTGT